ATTGGGCAGCAAAATCCAACATTCATTTGATGATTGGATTGGATTGGTCGGGAAAATCCAACATCKATTGGATGATTTGATCGGTTCAATTCCCCTCACACCCAATGGATGCCAACGGGTAAAGAGACCTAAATTTCAATAATCACAAATAAGATTCCATGTTTGTTTTTTATTTATGTAATCGTGTATTAGTAATTAATGTTTTTTTAAGTCAAACTAGTCCCTTTTTAACACTGCTAGAGGATGCTTCGTTAAGTGAGTCATGTGAGGGGCGATTTAGTCTTTTTATACACACTCTTTTAGTGACTTCTTTATCGTACATGTTTCAATGCATAATTTTGTACGAATATGTAAAACTAACGAGAAAAAAAAACAAAGATAAAATTAAAACTCTCCATCGCCACTCTGACTCCCTCTGGTAGGGTTAGAAGCATGGCGAGTATTGGCCGATGATGCACATCTCCCGTTCCCGACCCTCATTTACACCCACCCCAAGTAATCCTCAACGGGTTCGAGAAACCCATTGGGTAGAAAAAAAACATTGTATTTAAAAAAAAGGGGTCTCGCTCTCCTAACCATTCGTTAGCTAAATGCATACGGTTAAAAACCACCTGCATATCAAGATCAATATTCAAWTTGGTTTATGTTCACGATTATATTATCCACGATCCATATTATCGTTTTCCATTACAGGAGACCTACTTAGGTATATTAGTTGGCTTATGCTATGGGGCCCTCTCGGGATTCCTTCTAGAGCCCGTTGAATATTTTTATGGATTATGTCTCAAATAGACCAAGATCCTATTTCGGGTCATTTTTCTTTGTGAACATGATATGACATAGGGATGGTGATTTGCTCCGACCCGCTGGGAAACTCGGTTCACTCGACCTGAACAGGGACGGGGATTCCCAGCTAAAACGGGTCCTGGGGCCAGGGCCAAGGATCTCCAGTAGACTCAAACCGAGGTCGGGGGATGCTATTCAAACCGGGGTCGGGGCTGGGGATCCCCGGTAGAATCAAACTAAATGATACTATTTATGGGGTTTGACCAGGGTTTTACTGGGTTTTTACCGCATATTGCTAAAGATTTGACTGGGTACGGGAGCCGGGGATCGGGGTCGGGGGGATGTTACTACCGGGGATTACAAAACCCACCCCCATCCCCGCCCTGTTGCCATACCTACAGGTACTCGCCCATACATACTACTGGGGCCAAACCCATTTGAAAAAAATCGTATGCAACATTTTTATCTCATGAACGTTTATCGAATGAAAGTCACCACTCTTATTTACTGTGTAAGACTGTCGATTCTTATCATCCATCTTACTGAATAAGATTCTCAATCTTTATCATGTTCATCCGATAAGATAAAATGACATGGACAGAATAACCCAACTTCAATCTCATTCCTAATACTATATAGCAATTTAGATGGGCCTGACCCAAATAACATTAGTTCCATTCGGCCCAAAACTGACAAAACCCTAGAAATAAATCATCTTCATCATATAAAACCTCAACTCCTATTTCCTTTCCGCCGAAGGAGCAAGGGACGACGGCGATCAACCATGTCGAAGCGAGGTACTCTCAATCCCCTAGTCCATCTCTCATCGATTCTGAATTCTAATGGAGTTCGTTTCATCTATTTTTGGTGTAATTTGTTTAATGTTKTTGGAACTAATTTCAATGTGTGATTACTGGTTTTCAGGTCGCGGAGGTTCCGCTGGGAACAAGTTTCGGATGTCACTTGGTCTGCCGGTGGCTGCGACGGTGAACTGTGCCGATAACACCGGTGCCAAGAATCTGTACATCATTTCAGTCAAGGGAATCAAGGGGAGGCTTAACCGACTTCCGTCGGCTTGYGTCGGCGATATGGTTATGGCTACTGTGAAGAAAGGTAAGCCCGATCTCAGGAAGAAGGTTATGCCTGCTGTTATTGTTCGTCAACGCAAGCCWTGGCGCCGAAAGGATGGTGTTTTCATGTACTTTGAAGGTTAGTTTTGTTGATTCCGATTTGTTGTTCAGTTATAGTTTAAATACTGATCTGAATTGCGGTAAACTGTTATTCATTCAGTAGCACCATTTTTACATATGCATTACACGAGAAAGAGCTGCATCGCATGTTTATTTTTGTTAATTGTTATATGATCCTTGCTTTACATTGTTTTGACTTGATTTGATTTGAAGATTTCGAATTGTATTAGATGATATACTCTGTATAAATYCCATATTGAGTGTCGCTTCATTAGCGATCATTTGATTGATTTGAAGATCAGAATAACTACTGCTTTAGAGTTTGTTCTGATCTAAATTTTCACGGGGATTTAACTTTTTTAATGTCACTAGTTGAGGYAAACATTCCGAGTTTTAATGTTCATTGAACCAAAATCACCGACATCTATTTGAACATTCATATAGTAGGTTTGACCGTACTTACCATCTGTCTAGTGTTGCTTCATTGAAATACGTTTTATGGCCATTTTGATAGCTGGCCATTTCAATCAAGAAGCATAAATCAACAATTTGGACCAGTTTTTAACAGCATGATGCCTTTTTTTGTTGCATTGTGTTACCTGTCTGCTGGTATATGCATTMTATTTTTAGTCTGATTTATGTTGTGTTTGTAACCAGTCTTCATGATCTGGCCTCTAACCACACATATGTACCGACCACACTTTTAAATCCTGTGTCTATATGAGTAATTGGGTACTGTTTTTAGTTCATTAATCTTGCAAAATTTTATATATGAAAGACTGAATATACAATCTCCCTAATGATTTTTCTTTTCATATCAGCTTTCTTGATTCTTGTTTTCTATATGCAGATAATGCTGGTGTTATCGTGAATCCAAAGGGAGAAATGAAAGGTAATCATGGTTAAATACTTTATTTATGCAAGAAACTACAGCATTTCAATAGATAAATATGATTTTTGTTGTTAATATTTCTGGGACTTTTGTGATAAGTTTACAAGTGATGGTGAATTATGGTTTTTAACTTTTCTTGGGATTTTGGCATCTTGATCACCTGTTTTCCAATCTATGAAATTGTAGTTGGGGTGCCTTTGGTACTCTGGATATGGCAAAATGAGAACTATTTTCTCCCATGTTTGGTGTGATATTAAACCAATAGTGTGACTCGTGAGTACGGAAATGCATTTTGATGAGACAAGACTGTAAAATTAACCTTGCACAATTCTTTCATTTTCCTACCATACCCTTCTTGCCCGTCCAGGCCTRTTAAGTTCGATTTGCCTACGAAACTTGCCCCATATTTCAAAATCCTCTCAATTTCCCAAAGGGAATTTGTTGGTTTCTTTGTTTTATCTTAACATTTTATATCATATGATAAATTGTTTCATAACTTATTGCAACCACCTTTGCTGTTCCATTAAAGTTCACCGTTTTCCCCATATTTATGGCATARTAATGTAAATTTTGATAGCTTTGTTGTAATTGACGTTGATTTTATGGTGTGTCGAATGCAGGATCTGCCATCACCGGACCCATTGGGAAGGAGTGTGCCGATTTGTGGCCGAGGATTGCCAGTGCTGCGAATGCCATCGTATAGGATTGACATATCGGTTTGAAGTTGTTTCCATCTTCGTTCATTATATGGTAGTTCTACTTGTTGGTTTTGTGTTAGTTATATTTCAAGAGGATTTCTTAGAAGATTTATCTTCCCAAACACTTCATATTTCAAATTGCAGCCTTGGATTATCAAATGATTTTGGTTTCTTGGTTAGAAAACCCATTTCTTTTTTGCCTTTTTGGAGGATCAACCTTTTTTCAGTTTTTGGGGATCTCAAGATTAAACCTTGGTAACCGTTTATTTGTTCAATTATCTTATGACATTCTTAACGTAACAAGAGGTATAAGCCTCGAGCCACGACATATGCTGTCACAYACTTAATGTGGCATGAGACACGAAGCCTTGAGCCACAACGGCTGTTGCGGCGACCTTTTTAGAACAATGATAAAATTACAGATTTGTTGATTGCTTTCTTACCTTTTCACCGTTTTTTTGCACAAAATTTTCTAAACTGAAAACGGAAAAATAAACTCATTTCGAATGAAGGACCTTAAAATATTACATATATGTTATAAATAGATGTCAACATAAAACGATGGATCGATATAAATAGATGTCAACATTAAAAAAGAAACTAGTTTTATGCATAAAATAATACCAAATACAAATATCATGTAAAAATCAAGGGTCGGGTTGTCCTGAGAAGGTTTGGATCAATTCTAAAAACAGTAATGAAATGCATAGAGATTATTTTCCGTGAGAAGCGTAATTCATGGGATGAGGGTGAGATTAAAAGTGATCAAGTGTTCATATCCCTTCTTACGTTTTTCACCTTAACTTTTACTCTCACACGATCATTCGTCTATCAATCAGTAGGACAAAATGTGTGCTTAGTTTTATTTGATTTTTGGATTATCATACGACAATCGATTAACTGAATGTAAATATCAAAATTCTGATACAATACAAAGTCAATTACAGTATAAAATACAAAAAGAATATGTTCACAAGTTTCACAAACTTCTTATTCCATTTGTGTTTTCAACATCACAATATTTTTTGTATATATTGACATATTTTGTTAGGAACCCAAAAATGATTAGGAATTCAAAATCCATCCACAACATAACAYTGAACAAATCATCAGCAATATAGAAGCATTATTCATCATAAACAGTTTTTGGACTCCTAAAAAACTTTCGTCTGTATACACACACAAACATATGCACGTTCACAATTATAATCGTATTTCAATTATAATCGCAATAACCGACAAAACTGTACTTTTTACAAGACAACAAAGGAAAATAAATAACTTGATAGAGAAAATGTCAACATCATAACATGTTACATAGGGTTGTATATATGTTGGGTTGATCAGGCTGAAAACATTTGAATTATCTAATCTAATGTTTGTGATTTGGAAAATCTCAATCAAACCCGATCCAACCCAACCCCAAACGTGTGGGTTGAGTTGGATTGGCCGGTTGAAACTTTGATATATCATTTTACAATCTARCTAAGTATTTGTGTTTGAATGAAGTAAAATCAAAATGATAACATATAAAAAAAAAATACTAACACGCTAAAAAAAGAACGTTGAAGGTTCATAAAGATAATAAAAATAAAATTACGGTTGAAATTGTAATATAATTTTGAATAAAGCTAATTGCGGATTTGTCTAATGTACATATGTTACTCAGTGACTTAAAAATAATATTAAATTTACTATATAAAAAGACATTGAGTTCATCGGGTTGGATTGAGTTCAAATGACTCTAACTTTATCCTAACCCAATAGATACAGTTTGACCTAATTTATTTCAACATGTCAGTTACCTAGGATTTGATTTTTTTGGATGAAATTGATGGAGTTGATTGGTATTTTGAACACCCCTAATGTTACGAACAATTTTATATATATTAAATATAAAAATTGCAATTAATAAATAATTTATTATAATATTATATAATATATTTTAGAGTAAATTAAGATTTTAATCCCTATAGTTTCTTGAACATTCTATCTTGTTCATGTGATTTTAAAATTACGATTTTCATCCCTATARTTTATACTTTATTAYCATTTTCTTYCTTATAGTTTAAACTTTATTGCTTTTTTTTTCATYYTTATAGTTTATGGTTCATTTTTATTTTGGTATCTAATACTTAGAAAATACTTAGAGATCGTTTACCAAACCCTTAYCTGGATAAGTGTTTACCAARCCCCATTACTTTACCTGATGTATATGGCAAGGACCAAAAACCTTAATCAATAAAAGTGAAAGCAATGATCGGGAGTCTTACCYGACAAGTGAAGATAATGACTCMTATCACAGTTAACACTTACCGARTAAATTGTTGCAAAYGATACYGTTTTGGTGGAYTAAAATTTTACSCGGTAAGTAAGAGATAATGYTTCATTTTGTCCGTAAACAYTTATCTGGATAAGCGTTTGGTAAATAACCATTTAATCTAAGGGAGAAAAATAGAAATGAATTGCAAAAATATAAAGACAAAAAATGAAATTCGAAAACCAAATGAAATCCGCATTTTTTTAACAATCCATAATATAAAAAATAATTTATTCTATATTTTTAATAATAAAAATAAAAAAATTGATATAATTTTAATAAAAATAATCTATATCTATACTATCTTATTAAGCAAATTCATCAAAAGTCTTAAAGTCTTAAAATTCTAAATGACCAATATACCTTTTTCACTTTTTCATCTCTTCCTTTCCTCACATACACTCACCCCCTCACATATATTCACCTCTCACATTCAATCGGATTTTTTAAAAAATTATAATTTTAAATTTACATTTTATATATCTATAATTAGTTAATTAATTACTTGACGTCCTTTACTTTTAGATTTTTCATTTTAAACTTTTATCAAGTTAACATACATAATCGTATATCAAATAGAACATGTTTAAAAAATACATTTTTATTTTAACAAGTTACATCATTATAATCGTCTCGTTAATATCTTCGAAATGAGTCCAATATTGAATAGTTTT